TTTATGCCGCCGCACATATTTGTAGATCTAATCCTCCACTTCATAACCTAATTAGATGTAGTTTAGTTATAGTTTTAGTTATCAGAAAGATAAGAGACCAGTGAGTGAGGAGGTGCCTGAGTGATCAAAGGGAGTGGGACAGATCACACACACACACACACACACACACACACACACACACACACACACACACACACACACACACACACACACGGATTCAGTTTGAAGCGTCTGAAGCTTAGGCGTTCAAGAAACATGCTCCATCTCTCAAAAAGAGCTTTATGATCCATATTTAACCCTGTAATGCCAAAGGTATCATATTTGATTCATACAGTTTCTGAAATGTTTTGCGTCTGACACCTTTTGCATAATTTAATGGTAAAAACGTTGCTCAAAATCCTATTATTGTACACAATCAGATACACCTGATAACAGGGGGCAGAAGACTACACAAAAAATGATCTTGACTTATCGCATAGTAATAAATGATTAATATTAAAAATGTATTTCAGTTTTTTCTTTTTACATATTTTGTTAAAAGGCCGAATAAGGAATAAAAAAAAAAGAAGTAATTTTCTGTTTTGTTTTATTCTTGGATCAGGCTTTAAAGGGTTAAGGCTTACAGAGCTCATTGGCTGTACCAGTTACAGTTTTACATTGTTGTCAGTCATTTACCAGTAATTTGTTTTCAACATTAGGCAACACGTCGAACATTTTATCCTTCACCGTTCCTTCAAAGAGTAATTATTCCTAACTGCCGGGCTGAAAAAGCATGATGGAGTCTCTGTTGAACACGCCCGGACCAGTCCCCCGCAGCTTTTAAAGGGTGGCTGTAAAAATCCGGCTGGTTTGTAGAAAATGGCTCACAGAGGCTGCAGTCAGTGGGACTTTCTAGGTGGTCCAAATGGACTCCACTAATGAGAGAAAGGAAAAGTAATCAGAGTATCTTTATGGGACGTTTTCGAATCGTCTCTGCTAGATAACTTACTAAGGACATTTAACGAATTAGAGGAAGATTTAGAGACTGTGACCAGAGCAAGAAGCCTAAAAAAAATTGCGCGCTCTGAAAGTTTTCCCAAATTCCACTCCAGGAGCACCATTAATTACATCCCTGTCCTTCCTCTGCTTGTTCAAGAGCTATGGCGTCATGCATTCTTTCATATTCTTCAGAGTGACAAGAAGGTAAAATGAGGTTACTGACCCTTTCAAATGGAGATTTTTGCGCTATGAAGGAGTTTTGCTAAAGTTTCTCCACAGTTTAGCCTGTAACTGGTTAAAGTGGTGATCCGTCTATTGATGTTTTCATGTTACATTTCCTTTTCTCTTTCTCTTTCCTGTGCAGCAATGTGCCTGCCCAGGCTACAGGCTACAGCGTAAAGCCACATATTACCGTTCTAGTAGTTTACAATGTTGGCCCCAGAGAAAATAAGGTCATTATTGGATTAAATCACCTCTGCATGTGGGGCCAGCTCCAAGTGTGTGCACGGCCCTGAGCAAAATAAGGGGCTAGCAGCACTGGCTATAGGAGATTAGTTTATTTGGTACATAGTGGAGGTGCACCGCCGCTTAAAAAATTGCATCTACTTGCGAATTCTGGTGTGAAAACCAGTTTTAGATCTCGCAGGCTGACCTGGACGTCACATTGGCTTAATGGCATGTGTGTGAAAGGCCGGTTGTGTAGAGGCTGACACTCATCTGGTGATCTTTTTTGTTGGTGGGGGATGTTTTCCCTGACGTTTTGGGATGTATAACACATGTTGGTGGTTAGCAGTGAGACGGGAATACGGCAGTGTTTGCTAATGGAGCAGTTCTAGGGAGCCTCACTTCCTCCTGATATGCGGCAGTCAGAGCTTATCTGGGTTTTGGGTGGCGAGTCGCTGCCTTTGAAACCAGATCTCCTTGTGTTTGTAAACAGGAATGACCACGGGTTCAGTTTGGAGTATTCATCCAGATTTCTCTCATCGGTAGAAGCTGCATCGTTCGGTTAAAAAGACTTAGAAGACAGGAAATTTAAACTGAAACACTTCAGATTTATTCTGGTTCCGTTTCATCTGATCTGAAATGCTCCTGAATCTCTTACACCTTTAATCACAGACTCGGTGCTGTTTGCCAGCTGGTGACGGAAACTCTGCATCTCATCTATTTTTTTTTTTTTTTGCTGAAATATTTGCATTTGGAGCTCATCAAGCACGAGATGTAAATGAGATGTTTATGCAAACATGTTAAAGCCTGGAAATGGATTCACTTTAAATTGGGCTGAAGTGAATGCATACCACCTTGTTTTAAAAACCCAGCTGCGACTGCCAGTTCTGTGCTGGCAGCGAAACCTAAAAAGCTCATATTTTTGGGATCGGAGAGTCACTTTAACCCGTCTGTGCTGTCTTTCGTTAACAAAATGCTTCATGACACGAGAAAAAACTTTATTTTAAATCTAAACCGGACTGGAAAACAACCAAAGTTGCACCAACACATCCAGACAGAAGCATTTATCCACAATCATAATAAAATCTAGCTGTTATTTCTCTATCTGTTTCCCATTTTGCAACTTTTTTTACACACAGCAAAGCTATTATCAATAAAACTGCTAATTTTTTACATATTCAACTTATTTTTGTTAGATGGCATGAACCAGTCAGGCTCTGTGAATGAAAACCAGTCAGTTCAGACTGTCGCTCTGCTTCAATAAACTCCTTTTTTTCTGTCCTGTCATCCGAGAGAATGACGATTCAGAAACAGACATGTGCGCATTGCATTGGCTTTTGCTTCCATGTTTGAACTGCTGCAGAAAAAGCCGGAAGCAACAGGATCTCTGGAGCGTTTGCTCACGACAACGGTGCCACAGAATTGAAGCAATATGTTCTGTGGAGTTGCAGCTTTACACATCTGTGCGTGTAGCTCAGGATTCATTTTAAAAGAGAATCTATCCATGCTCAAAACATGTCATGTAACCCTTTAAAGCACGATCCAAGAAAAATAGGAAGAATATTGGATTTTTTTAGTCTGAAGTCTTTCTTTTGCCCCTCAACAACATATGAAGAAAAAAAAAACTGAAATTATTTTGATGAAATTAGCGTGCAATAAGTCAAATATATATTTTGGTGTAGTCTTCTACTGGCTGTTATCAGGTATATCTGAATGTGTAAAACAGGGGTTTGAGCAAAGCTTTTACCACTGAATGATGCAAAAAGTCTCAGATCCAAAAGACTTCAGAAACCATATGAATCAAATATGATACATTTGGCGTTATAGGGTTAAGGTTCAGGGTTCATGTTCATGTTCTGCTTTGCATGCTGAGACAGGTAGTGGTGATTGTCACAGCTCTTTTCGCTCTTTTCTATCACAGTCTGACACAAATCATGACCTCGCCGTTGCACTTTTCCCTTTTGCTGCAGATGGATCGCATCCACAAAGCCCTGATCAGCCCCGGTTTGGGGCTGAGCTCGCCCCTGAAGAGGAAGGCCACTTCCTGCGCCGTCTGTCGGCTGAGGTTCAACTCCGAGGTGGGCGGGAGAACGCAGGCTTTGAACTGTTCTCTCTTTTTTTATTTCTCACGCCTTTTCACACACACACACACACACCCTTTTTCTTGGCACGGCTGAGGAGACCCGCCCTTTATTTTGGTCCGTTCGACTGGTTCTCGGAGGGATGAGCTGTCTCGCGTGATAACTGGATGAATGGGAAACGCCTGGATAATTTGACCGCTTAAAATAATTGAGAATGAAAAAACTAGTTATTCCCAGAACTGCTACGCTTTGCCATCACTCTTCTTCTTCTTCTTCTTCTTCTTTAAACATGAGCTAAACGACTGTATACAGATGCTTCTAAATATGCTACATTTCTTTCTAATTATTATTATTATTTTTTTACCTAAGACAAACAAATGGCAGGTTTGTGTATTCATCCATATTCGGTTCACTCCTTGTTTGCCATCCCACAGGCGCAGGCCTCGTCCCACTACAGTGGCACGAGGCACGCCAAGAGGCTGAAGGCTCTGGACCCCCCCGATTCAAAGACCAGGACCTCTGAACCGGTCGCCAAGGAAACCGCATCACAGATCCTCTCCTCGCCCCGTTTGCAAGCCGAAACAACATCAGAAGGTGTGTGTCTCTGCAGGCTCTCCCCGCCTATATCTGAGTGTGTGTGTGTGTGTGTGTGTGTGTGTGTGTGTGTGTGTGTGTGTTTGTTTGTTTTCATGATATATCAGGAGAATTATGTGAATCACACCTTCAATATCAGGACGCGTAGAAATATGAGGACACTTTTCATGTCCTCATTTTTTTGAGCATACTAAAGTGTTCTAGAAGCCCCAAAATACCTCTAAACCAAATATCTCTATTGTTCTAAGAACCTTTGGAAAGCCACCTAAACATTTGTCCTATTTCTGTCATGTGTCCTTGTATATAATGAAAACACGTATGTGTGTGTGTG